CAGGGCTAGAGTTGATCAATGAAGGTTCATCAGCCAAAGCTTCATTCACATCAACTACCTCACCAGTAACGGGGGAATAGATATCACTAGCAGCCTTGACAGATTCAACAGCACCAATTTGATCTATAATAAAAGTATTCAAATCATAAGCAGACAGTTCCATTTAACCTCCATTTTTGTTTTTTTTTTGTCTTACCTTGCTTGTCAACGTTGGAGCCAACAGAAGGGGATTCAACAAACACAACATCACCCAAAGCCTTTTGGGCATAGTCAGTGATACCAATAGTACCAACACCATTGTCAATAGAGATCCATTCATGGTCAGTGGTATATTTCTTGGCTGAATTAAACAAATAAAAAAAAAAAAAGAGAGAGAGAGATGAGTGTATGTTCCGTGATGGTTTAAAAAGGTAATTACTTACTAGCATAAGTACGGATGGCAGCCAAAGTAGCAGTGTTGCGAATCACAGGAGCATAGGGGCGGAAGACGCTTGAAGTCAAAACACGAAGAGCCATTATAATAAAAAAAGGTATGAAGGGAGAGTGGGGAAGGTGAAAGAAAAACACTGTTAACCCCCCAGCTAAAAATTTATTTTATATACCTACTCCACCGAGTCGATTTGCATTGCCATAAAAAAAAATCAAAGTTCAAGATGTCGGCATTTGAAATTGCTCATCCATCTATCTTTCTCCCTCTCCCTTTCACCAAAGGTCAGGCATGTTGATAATGATAATTACCATAAACATCAAGTTATCTTTCCAAATAGTTCATCATCATCATCATCACCCCCTTTTCTTTTATAAAACCCTCTTTAACTTCATACCTCGTTTCAAGTTGGTCATCCTGACTGGATATGTTTTTGACTCGGAGATCAATAGGCATTAAAGTGTCATGATATGATCCAATATCGAGTCTCTAGTTCAATGGCATAATCGCATATCAATTCCTCTTCATTACTTGCTTCTAACGATAACAAGAATAAATATGATATATGCATAAATTTAAACCCCGGAAAACCCCGCTCTGTTCCTGATGTTAATGTCAGTTGGTAGCATATCACTTATCTTTCTCTTAAAACATTGTACTGCGATGTTGTAGAATGTATTCGTGAACTATCAATCCGCACAGACAATGGTGTTACAAGGATTTCTCAAGTTTGGTTTAATTCAGTCGCCGCCTACTCTATCGGGAAGACTTTGAAAACCAAACAACCAATGGGGTAGTGGCTTTGATTCATTGAAGTAGAACATCTTGAAGGAAAAAGAAAAAAGAAAAAAAAAAAAAGAGAGAGAGAGAAACTCCCCACATTCCTATCACATACCTTTGAAATACTTGGATTCAGGTTAAACTCCAATGTACAAGAAAGAAAGTTCGATCATCCCAAAAAGACCAATGAGCAGGGTCAAAATCTGACACCCCCCTGGCTTCTAAACCAGGGTCGGCGGGGTATGAATTAGATCCGAGAAGGGGAATCGGGAGGCTTTTATTTTTTTTTAGTGGGATTGGGCCTGCCATATATAAAAAACTTTTTTGGGGATTCCCCTTTTTTTACTTCTTTTTTTCTTTTTTCTCTACTTTTTAACCCCCCACTCTTACATACATTAATCAACATGGTCGAAGGAAACGCTACTGCTGGTGCCAAGCTCTTCAAGACTCGATGTGCTCAATGCCACACCGTCGAAGAAGGTGGTGCCCACAAGGTTGGTCCTAACTTGCACGGTGTCTTTGGACGCAAGTCTGGTCAAGCTGCTGGTTTCTCTTACACTGCTGCTAACGTGAACAAGGGTGTTACCTGGAATGAAGAAACTTTGTTCGATTACCTCGAAAACCCCAAGAAGTACATTCCTGGTACCAAGATGGCCTTTGCTGGTTTCAAGAAGGTAAGATCGGGATGGGGTTGATCTAGATAATTGGATATGTATACTCACTTTATTATTTTTATTTTACTCTCATCACTTATAGCCCAAGGATCGTGCCGATGTTGTTGCCCATATGAAGGAAGTCTGTTAAATAGTATAGAATCCAATATTCTTTAGATGTTAGACTCTCTCACCTTTACATTATTGTATCTACTCCTTTATTCTATTGTATCATTTTATATTATCACAACCACCTTACTCCTCATTTATATCACATAATCTTTTAGAAATAAAATGAAACCATTAGATTTGTATCATGTCTTTGTCTTGATGTCTTTTTTTTGCCATGGGCTGTCTTTATCCATCATGTAATTAATTTGGGTATTCAATGTTTTTGTTTGGGCGAGGGGGGGTTGTCAATTAAAAAAAGGGCCACTGTTGTGAAACATTGGCCACGTTATGTCGGGATTTGAATATGCCAGTAACAGGATCAAGGTCTTTTTGTCAATGGCAACAAGATCAGGGGTACGGTATCTTCAAACACTATACGCAACTATTAGGTTTACTTTTCTACCATTGCAACAAGTCCAGATGAAAAAAAGATCATACAACATTAGACAATGAAATAAAATAGAATAAAAACCCACTAGGCGTCATCCATTGCCCGGGATGAAGTCTATCAACTAACAACCCAAAGTCATACTTCTGTCTATAAGATCAAAACAAGCATAATCAATTTTATTCCACATTAACAACCTTAAAAAAATTCACGCAGTACTAAAACAACATATACCCTACAAGTAAACTATTTGCTAACTAAACCTATACGCCCCAATCCATCCATGTGTTCATTTCAAAGGTTTCGATATGATTCCGCTTTGTCGTTTCATGTCATAGTTCACAGATCGGCGATTCGTTTGAGTGCTTGTGGCTATATCAAAAAAAGTAGACGAGTGAGATTGATGTTATACATACCATATTACCAAAGATTGATCTATACTTACGTGACAAAAAGTCAGTAGGACCTTCATAGGGACGAATTTTAGCATAAGCATTAGTAACATTATCGATATAAGCTTTCTTGGCTATTAAAAAAAAAAAAAAAAACAAGACCCTTTGATTAGTTCCTGTCCCAAGTTACCAACCTTTTTATATCGACTTACCAGTAGCAGGATGTTCAAAGATAATCAAAGCACGGGTATCGTCCATCCATTTGATTCGGTAGCCACCACGAATGTTTTCATATTCCCGAAAGATATCATGAAGATGATGGGTCTTGAATGATTTCGGGAAATCACGACAATCCAATATCACCGTAGGTTCATCCACCACAGGCACTTGAGCTAAATCACAAACAATAAAGAGAATTAGTCCAGATATATATATATTAAAACCACTTTTCCCCACCCCTCTTCGTATCCCATTTACCTGGAGGTTCATTAAAAGGATCCATAATCCTACTTGCCCGTTTGTTTTTTCTGGCCAAAATAGCAGCTTCTTCATCCGAGCGATCGTATTGGCGTAAAAGATCGTCCCAATCTTCATGAGCAGGATTATGTCGATCACCATGAGACAAGGATTCCAACATGGCACCAAGTTTTTCCATTTTCGGGTCGAATGAGTTGTTATTATGATAATCAGAATAACGATGGTGAAGAGCAGGTGTGGAAGGGAAGCTGTTGTCTTCTGAATAATCTTCTTCTTCTACTGAGCCCCCGCTACTGCCATTATTGTGTTGTTGCCCCTTACGCCATCCACGAAGTTGTTGTGGTTGTGATTGACGTTGTGTTGATCGATTGTTTCCCACCGTAAAATCAGAACTGTATCGCATACCATTGTTGTTGTTGTTGTTAAAAACATCTTGATTAAAAGAGTTGCGCTTGTTGTTGCCTTGTCCATCAATAGAGTATCGTTGTTGATTGGGTCGAAGACTAATATCAGGGCCATCGTTACGTCGATGCACAGGTACATAGGCAAGCATGCTGCTACGTTTCATTTTCTTGTCAGTGGTTGTTGGTTCCATCGTGTATGTATAAAATAGTGTCAAGCGTGTATGGAATGAGAGGACTGATAGGAATCAAGGGTATAGATTCAAAGAAGTAAAGAGAAGAGTAGAAATGAGTGTATTTATAAAAGAGTGTGTTTGTGTTTTTGTGTTTTTGTTTTTAGATGAAAAGTATTGTATTTACTGGGGATAAATATGTTTGGGAGTTTTTCAAGAAAAAAAAAAAAAAAAGAAAGAAAGGTATATGTTTTTTATGATGAAGATAAAAAGGAATGAAGTAGAGTAAGAGGATAAATATATAATAGAAGAAGAAGAAGAAGAAGAAGAAGAAGAAGAAGGGGAAAAAGATATTAAGAGATGTCAAGGACAGAAAGTAATAAAAAAAAAAAAAGGGAGGAAAGGGAGTAAAAGAAGGAGACACAGTACAAAAAAAAAAAAAAACCTTTTTGAAATGTCGGGAATTCCATTTCAGCCAATTAGCCTAAAATGTCGTCCCAGCATCATCCACACACAGATACACATTATTACAACACATCAATGCACATTGTTTATTATTAACATATATAAAATCAATATACGCATACATAAATGAGCCCATAAGCAACTATTTACATAATTATCTATCATTCAGTCTAACAGAGTTTATAAAAGGGCCCCTCCCACCCATCGTTATCCACATTACTTTTATAAAGCCAACCGATATAATCCTGCAGATACAAAAACTAATGCCATCATTAGATTAGTCTTTTATCCTTTTCCATTTTTATATCATACTAGTAACTTACCCACGCCAACCACACCAAGTCCAACAGCCGTGTTTAATTTCCCAGGTTTCTTATTCAATTTCCAAGCTTCATGTAATGCGTATCCTCCAAGTCCACTAAAGGCAGCAGCACCTGTTAATTTACATGGCAGGCAGTCTTTGTATTCCGCTTTTGTAATGTCGTCGTTAATAATGTCGTTTGTCGTATTGCTTTGTGCCATTGATGATTGCTAAACGAAAGAAGAAAGAAGAAAAAGGAAAAGAAAAAAAAAAGAATTTCTATATATCAGCCAATCACATTTATACCCCGCGGTCACGTGATTTTTCGCTACTGTGATTTATATAACACATTAGTTTAAAACAGCGAGGTCAGCCATCATAGCGTAATGGATAACGCATCGGACTCCTAATCCGGAGATTGTGGGTTCGAGTCCCATTGATGGTACTTCTATTTTTTGGATCGCGTCGGTTAAACTTTTTGGCGTTGTCGGGTGTCGTTTGAACTATAAGACGAGTATTCCTTTTTTATATCAGGTGAAGAATAATGTTTTTATTAAAAGTGAAGTCTACATATATATATACTATTCTATTATCGGAGTCTATGGCTGAATTGGTTATATCGAAGCATCTAGATGTTAAAAGATTTATCGAGAGAGAAAGAAGAGAAAGAAGAGAAAGGAGAAAGAGACAAAAAGAAATTTCCAGATTGATATCTAATTTTCCAGAGAAAATCACTTTTTATCTCCGACATCATTCCCCACGGGGAGAAGAATCGACCACGATTCTTGTAGCCGTCAAATCACCAGGTTGAGGAAATAAAGCACGAGTGTGAGCAGGGTGATACCAGGAAGATTCTATCGTATCCTTGGGAATAGCCAATTTGAGTCTATCTGTGTGTACCCAAGAGTTGTAGGGTTTGCCGCCGTCCAATGCCTTGAGTGAGTAAATGTCATTGTCGAGGTTTCGTCTGTCTATCTTGTAGGGACCAAACCAACGAGGTTCCAGACCAAGAGGATTCTCGTGTCGTACTAAAACAAAATCGCCTATTTCGAACCGTTGTGATTTAACCTGATCGTCCCAGCGTTGCTTGTCTGCTGCCTGTTCCTTTTCCATAAGTTCCTTCGCCTGTTGTCGCCTGTGTTGAAGTTTCAGTAGTCGAGGTGTCGAGGCATTTACCAGCTCGTCCATCGTTGTTTCGTCTTGCTGTCGTTCAGGAATTAAATTTGGCCAAAATTCGTCCGGAGGTTGTCGAGGGTGTACACCATAAACCAAATAGAAAGGGCTTGTTTTTGTCGTTCTGTGATATCGTGTTCTACAAGACCACTCTACCCGGGGTAAGTATTTATCCCATTCGTATATATTACCTTGTACATATTTGCGCAACATAGATTTGATAATACCATTGAGACGTTCTACCTTGCCATTAGTCCGAGGGTGAAAAGCCGAAGTACACGAGTGATGGGTTTTCATGAGAGATACATAGTTTGCCATAATCTTGGACATAAAGTTTGCACCACGGTCAGTCAAGATTTCGTCGGGACAGCCGAATCGCAGAGTGATTTCTTCATAGATAAACTTGGCAATGTTCGCGCCAGTAGCTTCGGGTAAGGCACGAAGAATCGGCCAGTTAGTAGAGTAATCGACTGCCACCAGTAACCACTTGTTGCCTTTTGCTGTCTGAGGGAGTTCACCAATAAAATCCAGATGCCACCGAGAGAAAGGAGCAGGAACCGGCAGGGGTTTCATCGGAGCACCATGTCTTGATCGTTGCTGAGGGCCGTTGATTTGACATTCCCGGCATTGCTTGAGCCAGTTCATTACATCAGTTTCCATGGATTGCCAGTACATTCTTGATTTGAGATGAGACAATACCGTAGCGGCACCAAGATGACCAAGATCGTCGTGGTACTTTTGCAACCAGTTGGCACGATCTGAATAGGTAATAAAAGGCACGAGCTTAATCTGTTCATCTGTTTTTACTTTTTTCATAACTATACCGTCTTCCACCACGTAATCCTGTTTGTGCTTGTTGAGATTATCCTTGGCATCGCTAGGTACTGTTTCTTGATCGCAGAGATAGTAAACTGGCCAATCAGACGGATGATTGAGTTGAGGAGCCACTTGTTTATCGTCCATTGCATACAATAAGTCAGGTTGCATATCCACAGTAGAGTTATCACCAGAAGAGTCGTATCTTGCCACCACACGAGAAAGAGCATCAGGTACCACATGTTGAGATCCAGGTTTGTATTCAATAGTAGGGTCGTACAATTCGATTTCGTTCATCCACCTCGTCAATCTTGGAGTGGGCGTCATCTGAGTTCGTAAATACTTAAGCGGGTTATGGTCCGTGCGCACCACAAAAGGTCTGCCATCCACAAAACATCGCCAGGTTCGTAAAGCATGAAGGATTGCCAACAATTCGCGTTCTTGCACCGGGTACTTAGTTTCTGCTGCTGATAGTTTCTTCGACTCGAATGCCACTGGGTGTAGTTTGCCGTCATCGTCGTATTGTTGTAGTACAGCACCAATTCCATAATCCGAAGCATCTGTGTCGATTACAAAAGAAGAGTCATCACGAGGCATCATCAACACCGGACTTGTTATCAACGCGTTCTTTAATTGGTCGAAAGCTTTTTGACAGTCAGGGGTCCAAGTTATTCCACGCCGTTTGGGTCCAACACCTTTAGTCAAGTCCGATAATGGAGAAGCCACTGAAGAGAAATCTTTAACAAATCGTCGATAATGAGAAGCCAACCCAAGGAATTGACGCACCTCTTGCACGTTGTTAGGCACCGGCCAGTCTTGGATCACCTTTAACTTGTCATCCGAAGGGCGAATACCAGCTGCTGATACCTTAAATCCAACAAAAGTAACGGTATCCCGTAGAAATGTACATTTTTTCATATTAGCATATAATCTGGCCTTACGTAATTTATCGAGCACCAGTTGCACATGTCGTAAATGTTCTTCCTTCGTTTTGCTGTAAATAAGTATGTCGTCCAAGTAAACCAGAGCATATTGATCCAGAGCATCTTCCAATATGTTGTTCATCAATCGTTGAAAGGTAGGGGGAGCATTGGTGAGCCCAAAAGGTAAAACCACAAATTCGAAAGATCCGTATCGAGTCGTAAACGCCGTCTTAGGTATATCGTCCTCATGTATTCGTACTTGGTGATACCCACTTTTAAGGTCAATACTAGAGAAGTACCGGGCGCCAGAGAGTTGCTCCAAACATTCGTCGATTCTGGGTAACGGGTGTTTATTGCGTCGAGTTACTTGGTTGAGAGCTCGGTAGTCGATACACATACGGAGGGACCCATCCTTCTTTCGTACAAACAGCACAGGTGCACCCCAAGGCGATACACTTGGCCGTATCAGTCGTAATTCCAGGAGTTCATCCAATTGTCGTTTCAGTTCTTTTAACTCCCGAGGAGACATCTTGTAAGGTGTCCGATGAACCGGTTGCGCATCACCAGTGTCGATTAGATGGGCCACACCACGATCCGGAGGTAAACCAGGTATTTTGTCTGTAAACACATCACTATATTCTTGAAGGAGAGGCTCAATTATGGAATCTGTCGGACCATTACCACCATCTGTCGTTAGTGTTAAACACCAGCAGTTGTCAATCTGGTTGTTGGTCAAGCTTCGGTCCAGTTGTTTTTCGGTCATGATGTAATCCAGATTCTTGTAGTAAAGCTGTCGATCTTGCATAGGTGTCAATAACACCGTCCGCCCATGAGTGTCCACCAGTTTCCACACATCGTATTGCCATTCAGGAACAGGATTTTCTTGTCTAAACCAGTCCATTCCGAGGATCAGATCAAATCTTGTTTCTAACACATACGCATCAACTGTACAGCACCATGTATCTTTCTTCAGTCGTAACCGTGCTTTATACTTGATAACCATTTTCTTGCCATTCGCTACCTCCACCGTTTGTCGTCGCACTGGTTCCAAAGGCAATCCCACCACCAAATCTGGGTGCACATAAGTATGAGAAGCTCCTGTATCCAATAATGCCGTTATGTCATGGTCACTACACAGCATATGGTAAAGGGGTAAATTAGTTTGTCGTTTATTTAATTGATAAATAATTTCACTATCTTCATTTTCCATTAATTCCTCTTCTGTGTCATGTTCCCCATCACAATTATTTTCTTTTTTGTTACTATCAGTGGCACGGTCCATCGTGTCCACAACCATATCCGCGATTAATCCAGTTTCGTCGAGGCTTTTGTTCGATTCCCATTCGTGTTTCTTGTTCTTGATACAGTCCATCGTATCCATCGTATCCGCCTGGGTAGAAGGTGAGTTCGAAGTTGTAATTGTCATGCACGCCCCAGATTCACCTTTTAATCTGAGCGTGCCTTGTCTTTTAAATCCTTCAACCATTTACAATCCTTGATAACATGTCCTTGTTTTTCGCACGCGAAGCACCGAATTGTCTTATTTACCGGTTTCCTTTCTTGTTGCTGTCTTGGTTGGCGCGGTTGGTAAGGTCGGCGTGTCGTGGCGTAATCCAGATCCATCGGTTGAGGTCCATCATACCCATTGCTTGGTCGAAGGGGAGGAAGGGGAGTAAGATAATTCATGCCTTGCACCATCGCCATGGACTGTTCGAAAGAGAGAGCCAAAATTTCCGCCGCGTCCTTGGATTTTGGGAATTCTTTCATAACATGCGCACGCACCATGGGTTGCAATCCCCGAATGAAGCGATCCTTAAATTCGTCGTCCGTCACCGATGGTAATAGCAGCTCCACGTCATGAAAGGCATTAACATATTCACGTACCGATCCAGTTTGTTGTAAGTTGGCCAGTTGGTCCCTAGCTTCTTCATGAGCGTTGATAGGTCTAAAAGCCGAGCGTAGTAGCTTTTTGAAGTCATTCCAATCCACCGTATCTTCGCCTCTGGTCTCCATTCGTCGCCACCATACGTCTGCACCATCCCGGAGTAAAGTCACCGCATAATCCACCTGTCTATCGTTTGCCAACCGAGTGAATTCGAAATATCGTTCCACCGAACGGAGCCAACTGTCAACCATTACTGCATTACGAATGCCCGAAAAACAAGGCGGAGGAGGTACCTTAACCATAGTCGCTGCTTCTCGTTCCTTCCTTTCGTCCAACAAAAGCTTGGTGCTGATCATCAATGTTTGCAGTGTTTGTGCCAAGTCTACGTTTTGAAAGTTGTCGGTCATCGTTGAGATATCGTAATTAGCCACAAGCTACCAGTGTCGTTTGAACTATAAGACGAGTATTCCTTTTTTATATCAGGTGAAGAATAATGTTTTTATTAAAAGTGAAGTCTACATATATATATACTATTCTATTATCGGAGTCTATGGCTGAATTGGTTATATCGAAGCATCTAGATGTTAAAAGATTTATCGAGAGAGAAAGAAGAGAAAGAAGAGAAAGGAGAAAGAGACAAAAAGAAAT